CATTGGTTGGGAACTGATATTTAAGTAAAGGACGCCTACTTTGGCGTGGTTGAACAAGATAGCCGAACTATGTGTGCCATCCACCCACCCACACCCACCCATCCATCCATCCATCCATCCATCCGTCCACTTCATTCAACTATCCATCAATCCATCTTCCTTCAGCCCACCTAACCCAACCATCCACCCATCTGTTTGTCCATTTCATTTCATCCATCTCTTTCATTCTACAATGGAAGGGGGGGAGCCTTGAAAATTTAGTAGCTAGACATTAGGTAAAGGTGTGCAAGATCATTATAGCCATTCATGCATCTCTGTGGTCCCTGYCAAAAGTCCAACTTTTTATTCTGATTACTTTGTAAGTTGTCAATTCTTATCAACCTTACTTGTCCACTCATTTTAGGTGGATCTGCAATGAAAGCAGCAGAAACGTTAAGAGAGGAAGGATTTACAGGTCTATAAATAAGCATGTTTTTTATTTARTAAAGATAATGTGAATGATWGTCCAAGGTGTTAAAAAAGGTTTCTGTCATATTGCAATTACTATTATTGTACTGAGATAGGATCTGCAAAGATCTGCTCAATTTGATACTGCATGTACTTATCAAACTAGATAAAAAATTGCAGAAAATATCTACACTCTGTAAGGTTATTCCTTATMTTCTTTTCCAGGGCAAATTGTCATGGTAACCAAAGAGGCTCACCTTCCTTAYGACAGACCTTTGTTAAGTAAGGTAAATTTAAACAACTGGTAAGAACTTCTGTTCTCATGTGCACTTGGATGACGCAAGCCTTACAACAGGATAACAGACTTCAGGCTGAGATATAGAACATACTTTTTGCTTGCACACCCACATTATCAGAACACACGATTTTTAGGATACCAGAATGAAAAAAAAATTATTGTAAAATGCACTCTACTTTTTAGAAACTTGCCATTGCTGCTGGGGATATGAAGCTGAGATCAAATGAATATATGGTSGAGCATAACATACAGTTCTGGTGTGGAAAAGAGGTAAGTGGATACTAATAYTATACTAAATATGACAACTTAATAATAAGTTTTATCCTTGGCTGCACGTGAGACTATTGTGCTTATGTAATTTAGTACCCCTCAAAGTTGAATCAAATAAACCAAAACGAAATGCATTATGGGTGTGGGAGAGCAGTGTATGACTTTATCTACGTTCTAACAGTAACCATCTCTAGCCCAATTGATTATGTCCTTTTTTGCTGTTTTCACAAAAGGCTCTTTCTCTCGACACAACAAAGAAGACTGTCCAATTAAGTGATGGCAAAACCTTGGAATATGACAGCATTCTTATTGCTACTGGTGGACAGTGAGTATAATATCATTGTCAATCAACCTAATCAGGGACCATRGAGGTAGGGCTTTTTTTAGCTCCAATCCCACGATTTTCAGGGGGTTGGTGGAGGGGGGAATTGGCCTGGACTAATATAGTAGACAGGCATGTATAAGATGTCTAAAAGTTGACGGGAAGGTGTGTGCAACCATGCTACCCAAAATCCCTTGATATATGAATAACAGTGAAACCACTGCCATTTTGGTTGATCTAAAAARAGAAGGAATGAGGAATGCTTTGTTATTGTCAACCAAGATGCATGGKGGTTATGAYGTAACATGCACATGCTCTATTGGATATAAGCAAAACCTATGACTATTTCCAATTTGTTTCAGACCAAGATCATTAGACRTACCCGGCAGCAATCTGAAGAACATTTTACTGCTGAGAAGCCCAGAAGATGCTAATAAAATTGGTAAATATTGATAAGATATGAAGAAAGTTTTCATTTGGATGGGAAAAATACCTTGACTGTGGCAACGGTTTTCGTACCACTGTGAAAGGCGCGAATTGCAAACACGCTCRTGACACGGCAAGGMATAAGCCAGCCCAATCACATTGCACGAGAACTTACTCCTTATCCAATCAAGTGCCCCAAAAACGACATGAATACRGCGCAGACACGGTCATGCCAATGTCACGGAACTTCCAGACCAATAACATTGTGCGATCCCCCAATCAAAAATTCTAGAAAACATCAMRGCGGTCCCGGCAAGGCAYRCWTACGGCACCAACGTTTTCACAGTGATATRAAAACTACTCTAAGACGACTTATAAAATAACTATTATGAATCTTGCGTTCTGATTGGTTAGAAGCGTGTACTATATTAGAGCACACAGCATGAGCGCTCACTTTCAGTGCGTCATCCCTATGGTTATCGTAATTTGTATTTTTTTAAAAGAAATAACAACTTGCTTGCTGTGCTGTGTGCAGTTATAAAACGCTTGGGGATTGGCAGAACACTCGAGAAGTGTTCGCTATCCATCATGCTTCTCCTAACACTTCTCTCGTATTCTCACAATTGTCAATTGCGTACCTTGTGCACCATGACCTTACTCCACAGCCAGGCATGTCTACTCTGACATTTCTGACTTGTTATTGATTACTGGGTTTTTTTCAAACTGTATCTAAATGTTCATTTTGTGTTCTTGATAGCTGAAATTGCACCTGGAAAAAAGGCTGTGGTGATCGGATCATCCTTCATTGGTAAGTCAAATATAAAGAAAGAAATTGAAATTGTAACTGAATGGTGTGTTAAGCTTTTGTGTCAATTTTTTTGTACTTCAAATTAACATGGTGTTCTCGAACTAGGAATGGAATTAGCAGCCTTCTTATCAGGAAAGGCCAGCTCCGTAACAGTAGTGGGAAGAGCTGAGATTCCCTTTGCAAATGTCCTTGGGAAAGAAATTGGTGGACTTTTAAAGAAGGTCAGTCATYTGCCACCCATTCATTCATCCATTGCTTGAGTGGTGTGTTTCTATTCATGTTAGAGTTGTTTCCGTATGAGTAGCAAACGACACGACTAGTTGTAGAGAATCTTAAACCCTGCGCGTAACTGCGCGTTGTGTAACGGCATGTTGTACATACTTGTACATGTGTACATACTTGTAAGTGTATGTTTGCTGCTCATACACATCAAAGAGGTTTTAGTGCAAAAACACGCACTTCTCTATCTGTCTTGGGCTCTCCAAGCAGAAATGAAGCTTTCCAATTCGTTCACGAAGACGTGAAGAAGAAGAACGCTAGCGAAAAAAAGAGACCTCCATAAATACAGGTGTCATGGTAAACCAATTCATTGTTGCGCTATTGGTTTGGGAGACTTCAAGATTAATGGTCTTATGGATGGAAAAAATTTTGATGCGTTTTTGGTACGAAAACTGAAAAAACATGATCGTGTGGAACGGAGGTCACTGCGCAAAGCATCTTCCTTGCCATACTAGGGAACTTTAAGTGCATACATGTTATACGGCTGTGTAGAAAAGTACATGTTGTTTATCTAAAAAAAWTTTTTAGTTACATGAAAGTAAAGGAGTAAAGTTTATTTCTGGTCAAACTGCGAAAGAGTTCAAAGGTCAAGGCGGAAAGGTAAGGCAAAATCTGTTTGAATACAACACCAAAAACACATGACTCATGCATGCGATATTCATCCTCTCATGCAGCTCTGCGCAGTAGTTTTGACTGATGGAACAGAACTCGAGGCAGACATCTGCATCCAAGGAGTTGGTAAGTAAGCTTTATATAATGCATCCTTGTCGTAATACTAGATTTTACACTGCTCACTTAGCTTAGTCACATAACTGATCTAACTTCCATTCTTTACAGGGGTCAAGCCTTCAACGGGTTTCCTGAAGGACAGTGGTGTACCRCTGAACAGCCAAGGAAGTATTGTTGTTGATAAGGTGTGTGTTTTGATATCATGACAATTCAGTCTTGTTGACTCCCTTGAACACTAGCGTAGGGAGGGGAAACATGAAAAAGTTTGCTTTCCTGCAGGATTCCTGCGGATTAATTGGCGGRAAAATGGTACATTGCCCCCCTATGATGGAGACCCCGCTACATCCCTGCCCTTGAAATGTCCTTTGTTTTGTGCCCTGTGCAGCAAACTCATTCTGAAACGCTTCAAAGTATAGCCACTATGACAAAATATGGGTGGGATTGATCAGGATCCATTCTGGCAAGGATGTAAAGTTGTTATGCACAAATCAAAATTTCTTTGTTCAAAATTATACTCTTTATTTTGATGTTTTTTTTTAATTGGTTCAGTACCTGCGGGCTTGTGACGATGTGTACGCTGCAGGAGATATCGCTAACTTCCCTCTCAAGATGCTGGACTGGGAATCTGTTACTATAGGACATTGGCAGATCTCACACAAACATGGTAAAGTCATTGAAAACGAATAGACCATAAGATGGTCCTTCCCTTGGCTTGACTTTGTATGGGGTGTAGGKTGTGTCCTTACAGACATTCTTACAGGTGTTTATACAAAAGCATGCTCTGAAGTGAAGCTATTTTAGTGTTTCTATCTCTGTGCTCCAAGTACCATTCATTTCCCACTCATATCATACCTGCTCTAAAATCTGATGCAGAGCAGTTGTTTTCCAAGAAGTAATCTTATATAGTGCTAGCTGTCTAACATTATACACGTTCGTTTTCATGCTTCAAGTTTGGGAAGCACAGGTGGTTTAAAGGGCTTGCCTCTCATCAGTGCGAATGGGTTGGATCCTTGGACATGTCKTATACAAGTAGTGTTCATTTTTGGTTCACTCATGTGCTTTGGGGGTTTTTCTCTGGGGTTTCCTCCCTCTTCTATAAATTCTAAATTGATCTAGAAAGTGCCCCTGTGAACATAGACATACAAAAAATGTACGTTCCAAATATCAACGTTTTCATAATATCAAAGTTTACTACAATGCTCTTGAACACCATGATCATGCTATCGCATTGTGGCTCAATATTGATATACTCTTACCTAAACTYAGTATTACCAACGACTAAGACAAAGTAGTATTGTAGTATTGTATTTATTCTCCTGACAGGACGGACTGCTGCTCGTAACATGTTGGGCAAGAATGAAGAACTCAACACTGTGCCATTTTTTTGGACAACTCAATGCGGAAAGAGTGTGCGCTACTGTGGTAAGTAGTCCAGTGGTTTCAGCCATTTTAAGAAAGCACTTATCATTTACTCCAGCTCTAGGTTCTATTTTGCTTCCTGGTAGGTTTAGGTGAGTCCTTGTGACTTCCTGTTGAAACTAGTAAAAAACTCTTAAAAACTCTTAACAGAAACGTTTGTTTTATTATTTTGTTAATTTTGACTTACAGGCCACGCCCATCACTTTGATGATGTCATCATTGACCGAAACATCGATGAAATGAAATTTATTGCATATTTTGTCAAGTGAGTGTCCTTCTTAATTATTTTGGTCTAATCTTTACTACTCTGGTTAGGTATGCTATATTTTCTTCATTTTTTAACTTTTTACTCCAGGGGAGACAAAGTACTAGCAGTGGCCACAATGGGCCGCGACCCTGTTTGTGCCAAGGCAGCCAATCTTTTATTTGAAGGAAAGATGCCATCGGCTTCAGAAATCAGGTAGGTCCATTGAATTGAGATAATAGGAATTCCTTATTACTAGATGTCACCCTTATCTAATATTATATAAAGACCACTTTCTAYATTACAGTATATGGAATACATCGCTAATGAATAGAGTGCAAAGGATATAACCGTTAAACTTTAGTTATACTAAATAGCGCAGTTTCATGCAAATTCCATTGTTTTCCATTGTTTAATTAGCACTATCTTGCACTATTTAGTAATTAGTGTTTCACAGATAAATTGTTTGCACTCTACACAAAAATACCTTAAAATAGACCTGATCTACTTTTCTTGTTTTTGGCAAAAAAATAWAGGTGTATCTTATCAAATGTATGTATTTTATTTGTAGGGCAAATCCAAATGAGTGGCTGAATTAGACTGACATAATTGGACAAACAGCTATTTTTGGATAAAATTATACCCAGCACTGGAACAGGGTTTGTTTTGCTCCTCAAATTTTAAAACTTTCTTCCATTTTCTTTATCCATCTGGAAAACTCCAGCAATCTCATCATCAATGAACCCTCCTTGAAATCTTAAATGCTCTGTTAACATAAAAATACAAAAGAAATGACACAAATCCTTTGAGGAAAAAGTCTGATATCTTTTGTAGTTCCATGTTAGCTTGGTGTCCAAGATAATTTTGAAGAAGGGTTCATTACAAGTACAAATCCCTGCATTCGAAGTATTAGTTGATGTGAAATGCGGAATGCAGTCTGATGATATATATATATATATATGGGAAATATTATACAATTACAAATCCCTGCATTCGAAGTATTAAAAAAGGTAAAAAAAGGTAAAGGTAATTTATTTTACTTTGATAACGGGGGGAGTGGTTGCCCAATTCTCCCCAGCCAAGGGCTCATGTTAAATGCACTTGAAGGTGTGCCCTCTACCCCCTCTTACTATCAGTGCTCCTTTTTACGGGTATTTAAAGCTACACAGAACAGAAAGAAGTTGAAACAGACGTGGAGTTCCTGAGGATCGAACTATAGACCTCTAGCTCTGAAGGCCGCACACTAACCAGCTGAGCTACACCTGCTCCTAATATTGATGTGAAAATGTGGAATGCAGTCTGATGATATATATATATATATATGGGAAATATTATACTACTTGAAATATGAGATATATTTAAAAAAAAGTCTTAATAAAGTAGATAAACAAAATTCTTGTTTATTTGACATTTTATTGTTCTTTATTCTTGATTTTGTTTCAAAAACTGAAACTTTAGAAAAACTATAATTTTCCTTGATATTATTTATGTTTCTCATAGAGGTTTTACACAATTCTTTCTCGACATTGTAATCTGTTAGAAGCATTAAGTACCATCAAATGGTCACTTTATTTTTAATTAAAAACTCCATTAAAAAAAGGCTTATAAGACTGCTGTCGATTATCAAGGAGCTGCTGATTCTTGTAAACAAATGAATGCCAACACATTGTTTGAAGGAAATACTACCAGATTTTGGTAGTTGGGAGTAAATGTTTCCTTATCTAATTTTGATGGACATGTAGATAAGTGACAAGTTTGTAAACCCCCATTTTGGTAATGCTTTAGCATCTTGTGGTTAAAGTCAAAGCTGACCTCTTTCTTTATCCCGTTTTTGCATCCTCAGCGGGCAATGTCCAAAAAACGTCCCATTCAGTCATTCTTTTTTTCTTCTATGGGCTTTTTCTCTCTCTCATCTGTTTTACTTTTATCTTTACTCCCTTTAAGCCACTTGATTCCTTCAAACAGCGACAGAATAATGGGAATACTGATGGGTAGAAACAAGGGGATGTAGATGGCATACCTATGAGTAAACAACAAAGAAATGAATGGATGAATGAATAAATGAATGGAAGGAGACTGGGAAGAAAGAAAAAAGAAAAATTGAATGAAAGAAAGAACAAAAGGAAGAAGAAAGAGCTTCCACTTACTTTTGATCATCAGGAAAGTACAGCAAAGCTAGTATGCTTGGGTCAAAAAAGGCATTTTCTGAAAAGAATAAACTTTATCTTAAGCATGTTTAAGTGTGCAGTGTATGATACCGTGAATGTTGCACAAAGTTTTAGATAAAAGTTTGATAAGCAGTATTTCTAGTTGGACTGCCGAGCAATTTTAGTAGTTGTAGTACGTTCTTTGGTTAGTTGAGTACTTCAGTCTTACTGAATTCTTATTTTCATATTTTGTATTGAATTACCAATTTATGAAAAGGAGATTTCTCCCTACGCATTAARTGTTTTAAACCTTTTTCCAGTATTTAATTTTGACTTTATATCCTTAAGTTGTCAGTAATATAGAARTGAGTAGAGCTTTCAAAACCAGTTCCTTTGACCCAAATTTCTCATTGGACAGTTGATAAAGATTATACATTAAACTTATGAAAAACATCATTGTCAAAAAATTTTCCTAAGTATATATTTGTCAAGATGTTTTGTAATTACCAGAGGATGTGAGAGCAGTCTTTGCTTCTAAATAGGCTGTTGTTACTCTACCCTGCTCCAGTGCATCTTTACTCTAAAAATAATACAACAGGTATGATTAGAGTTGGACTTTATTATTAAATATAGATTATTGATAGTTAGCATGTTCTGATGCTTTATTAGTAAATGGAGGACAGTTGCCGACTGTCATTGTAAAGAATAATCATTGTTTGAACCAAAAGATTTTAAAACATTTTTGGGTGGGAGAAGTCGCTTGAATTATCCAAATGTTAATATACCTGTATCTTAGAAATAAAGAAACCATTTGAGATTTCCCAATCTTAATGTTTTTGGATGGAAAAATATTTCTTATATTATTTAAACTTTACTAGGAAAACCTAACATGTTTCTATGGTAACTGATTGGTTACATGARGTAACCATGGTGACACACCTTTTCAATAGACAGCAAGGCCTGTTGAATCTGTTTTTGTATCTGATCACCAATAACCATGTTACTGATCTGCTCTAGAAGACGAGCAAGAGAGGTGAGGGTGATGGTGGATGTGGACAGAAATTCCATGGTTTTCGTCCTCCAAAGAGAAAGTTCCTCCTAGAAGATAAAATTGATCAAACAATAATTGTAAATATGGCTTATAACGTACCCTTTTTATTTGTATACTCATGCCCGTTAACATCCATAAGAGGCAGTTAGTATGAGTTGTAGACACTGAGGGTGGTCACTAGTCACTGCTAGGGTTTCTTTACACCAGAGAGGAGAGATGTGACCGCCATTTCATGTAGTTATCTGAGCCACTTGAAAGATATAGATGGAAGGATGAGTCGATGAATGGAAAATTGGATAATGGAATTACTGGGCAAATGGAAGGATAGATGGATTCCTAGAAGACAACTATCATTAATCTATCCCTTCAATTTTCTGTAGAAATCAGTCATTCACCAAGGCATTTTGTTTTGAAAACTTTTAAAGATATTCTTGGAATGCATTCAAYAAAGACAAACTATCAAACCTACCCATTCTGTTATTTCTGTACTGGAATATTCACCAAGAATACTTTGTTSAGGTTGGTCCTGGAAGAAAATAGAACAAGACCAGTGCATTAGTAACAAAAAGAGKAAGCTGTAAATAGACATTTCAGACCATGTGCCATTCTCTTCAGAACAAAATTCTTTGTTGGAGTCGAATCCATATTTTACGTGTATTCTCATGCACAACTGTTGAACCAAGAAACGATACTCAGACTAGGGAATGACACATGGCTTTAATTGAGGAACGATTATGCCCAAAGATGACCATTAGTGCACATGAGCATCTCCCTATGGTGTCTTACATTATTATATTTATTATCATAAAATAACTGTTATAAATGGCAAATTCTAATTGGTTGAGAGTATACATTGCTTTATGAGAGCACACAACATGCGATGCACTTTTAGTTGCGCCATTCCTATTGAAATTAACGGTTTTTGTAATTTGTATTTTATAAAAAGAATAGAAAACTTGCTTGCCGTGCTGTGTGCAGTTATAAAGCACTTGGGGATTGATAGAACACTCGAAAAGTGTCGAGGAGCACTCCGCTATGCGTCATGCTTCTCCTAACACTTCCCTCATGTTCTGCCAACCCCAGTGTGCTTTATAACTGCACACAGCATGCATGCGCATTTTGTATTTCTTCATTTCTATAGTATCGCACTTACTATTGGTTGACCACCAAGGAGGAGCTTGAGCTGGGAGATAAAGGTGCTCATTACTGACCTCATTTCTAGTTCTACATGATTATTTTCTAGGTTTGTTCTGTTAATGTTATATATCACAAATCCTCCCCAYTGAGGACTTAAGAATGCATTGCTTTCAGCTACATCACCTGGAAAACAGAAATAATTATAATCAGTGATCAGTGTTATGGCTGAGTTGGGTGGTACACTTGTAGAAGCATGTTTTCTATTTATTATCTTGTCTGTCCATCTTTTGGGTTGCCTCTTTATCTGTCTGTCTGTCTGCCTGTCTGTTGTCTGTCTGTCTGTCTTCCATTCATTTATCCATCCATGCATCCATCCTGCCTGCCTGTCTATCCATTCTTTCTGCCTTTCTGTCTGTTGTCTGTCAGTCTGTCTTCTATCCATTCTGTCTGTCTGTCTGTCTTCCATCCATCCATCCATCCTGTCTGTCTGTCTGTCTTCCATCCATCCATCCATCCATCCTGTCTGTCTGTCTGACTGACCTCAATCCATCCATCCATCCATCCATCCTGTCTGTCTGTCTGACCTCAATCCATCCATCTATCCATCCATCCATCCATCCACCTCATCATTCTTTCTTTCTGTTCTCTTACCATCTTTGTTCCTTACGTAGAGTGGCGTCTGGTCTTGTGATGGTACGTACACAATGAAGTTAAGATTAGAGTTAAGAGACACATAAGAACCTGCAATAAATATATAAGACACGTAAACTGTCAAGAATATTCACATTCATTTTCCAAGGATTTGAATTTACAAGAATAAACAGGACTGTATTTTCCTTGCAGATTCTTGTGAAATCTTACCAAGTTTAGCCTCTATAGGGTTGATAAGATGAGGTAGATCTTTATAATCCAGATAAAAGGCTTGGCCATCCCTTGTTGGGTTTAGCTGCACAGTACTGTAATGAAGAACCTGAAAAAGTTTGGAAATTTTAATCAAAGTTTTAAAACCAAAACATTGTCATTATCTTATTCCGTCTAGACATGGTCTCTTTGCTTAATTCTGACTTGATCTTCAGTTTTGGCCTGTCATCATTTGACCTAATGATCTAAATGAGGACTATGATTGACTTACATGTTTATAGATAAAATGTTGTCATGGTTGCATTAGGCCTATTTTTGTTTTGAATCATGCAGGTATTTTCTCTGGAATAAGAAAATGTCTCTCCTAATAAAAATACCATCATTCTATTTTAGTTACCTGGGAATCTATACTGGTGTTGAGGTGCGGAACCTTTGCCAGAAATGGATTCAGATACTCTGTCATTAAAATACAACTAAGTTATTCATTCATTCATCCATCAAGCCCTTCCTGCCGGCCTCCATCCCTCCTCCATGCATGCATGCATACGTGGATCTGTCCATGCATCACTTATTTATTCATCCATTTGTTCTTTCATTAGTTCATTTGTTCCTTTATTCAATCACTCATTCATCCATGTGTCTGTCCATCTATCCTCCTTCCATCCGTTTGTCCTTTCATTCATTTATTATTCATCTATTCATTAGTTCAATTTGTTCATCCATCTATCCATCCATCCACACATCCACCCACCCACTCACCAACCCATCCATCCATCCACCAACACATCCATCCATCCACCCACCCACACATCCACCCAAACATCCATCCACCCACCCACCAACCCATCCATCAATCCATCCATTTTTGTTGCTTACTTTGTACAGCCTCTTCAATATTCCACCAAGGAATAACAGAATCTGGATCTGAGTTCAGCAACGTAAAAGAGATTTGATAACCTATAAGAAAAAACTATTATTATAAACAGTTTCTAAATTATCATAAATGCATTTTTCTTCTTCCTTACCCGAAACAGATTTCTGTGCTCTAATATTTTCCATGTTATTCTGTTAACAAAGTTTACAAAGTTTAGTTATGAAAAATTAATGATATTTGAAAATGTTAGCTAAAATCAATATATACAAAATTAAAATTCTTCTTACCGTCTTGAGATTCCTTTGTGAAGCAGTGTTGAAAGCTCTACTGATGGTTTCAACATTTATATAAACATTTTTGATTACTGTGACAATGTTTTTCAGTTCTGAAGCTATTTCTGCAAAATGAGATAAATAAATACATAATTAAACAAACTTCATCTCTGAACAGTCTTAAAAGTTGTTGTTCATATGCTCTTGCAAAGTTTAGCAAATTGTTAATTAACTAATTACTTATTAATAATACATTATGATTTGTGGCAGATGTACCTATATTATTTCACAGCCATACCTTTCTTATATGGGATAATAGTGTGTAAAAACTTCCCAATATGCGTAGTCTTCATTTGTTCAAATATCCCAGATGGAAGAAATATGAATATGTAGTTTCCATTGGAAGATTTTTCACCATACCATAATTTTTGAAGTGCAAAATCCAAATCTGTAACAATGATATTAAGAAGAAAAATATTACAATTGAATGTTTGAATTTACTGAAATTTCCATAAACATGCAAACTCTGTGTCTGTGAGCTGCTACTGCAATTTGGTTTTTYGCTGCCGTCAATCAAACTTAATCAGTCAGTACCTTTCATATTTTTGACTGTCTGCAGCAAAAAACCAAATTTCAGTGTGCAACTTGGAGACACAGAGTTTGCATGTTTATGAGAATTGCAGTAAGATTCATGAAAATACATTTGTGCATTAAAGCATGATAAATCATTGATGAAGCAAAATAATGTATTATGGGAAGACCTGCATTGCGTGGTTTAGTTGCCATGGTCAATCTTGTTCTTCTCACCACTACACCACCTTTGCTTCCCCTCTGTAACATTTTAACCCTCTAATACCTCCAGGGCTTAAAATATCATCCGGAATGGAATTTTCTCGGCCAAATCATTGCGTTATCAGTCATATATTCACCAGAAATGAGGTTTGACAGTCCTATGACTAATTTGGCTGACCAGCTATTAATGTAAGGGATTCAATGTAAGCCCTGTCTGATTATTGTCATTCATCTACCTTTGAGAGCAGCATTTCTTTGACTCTTCTCTTTTAACAGTGAGTTCTCTGCTTCTGAGAGAAATCTTGTGTTGATTTCAAATTTTGGATTTACAGCAAATTCTAAGAGAAAAAGATACTTAGTGGTTTTCTTAACRAATAAAAGCACTCAAAACAACATTTTTAATAGACCATCCTGTCTTTCCTTAGAGTATTATTTCTTTGTTTCGCAGTTGTGCATAAGGAGACACATGAATATGCTATTGGATACAACTCAAACAAAGAAAGTTATTCTAAGGAAAATAAAATGTGGTCTGAAATGGGAAAACATGCTAAAGAGGTAGATTTGAAGTCATCTCCTACCACATACCTCTAATTCCTCTTACCTGCTATCAAGCTGTTTAGTTGATCACGCAGAGAATTATCAAAGCTCTTTAAGTTCAACAGACTTTCCTCTTTTGGTATTAGAATTTTGATGTTCACTAGGTAATCTAGCTGTAAAGCAATAATAAATCGATTAACATTYATATCAAGCTAATATAACCGCTGACAGAGGTATAGCCAGGATTTTTCTAAGGAGGGAGYCCGAATTCGAAACTCTGCCATTTTGTTTGAGTCCCCGAAATACTGAACCAAAAAAACGATAACAAAAAGGTTGGTGGACGGGGGGTGGTAGGTGGGGGGAGGNAGGGGGGGAGGGTGGCATTACTTTTTAATTTTGCAAACTTTAGTAAATAAAAATGAAAATGAACATCAAATTCTAAAAAGCAGCCACTTTGTTGCCCCCCTACGCCCTTGTAAAATATGTTCATATTCACCTTTAGTTCTGCAAGTTTTTCAATGTCCTTGTAAGGAAGAGATGCCCTGTACACCTTTGTAGTATTCCACCATAATGGTAAACCAATGATTATAAAGATGAATCCTATCATCAGAGATGATACTGCCTGCGTCCATTTTTCTAGGAAAAAGTTTTCAGTAACAATAAATGAAAGCGGTATTTTTTACCCCAACATATTAGAAACTTTATTAAAACGATAAGCTATATACGTGGGTGGGTCAGTAAAAAATGGGCAATTTTTTTAACTTTCCAGAAATATTTTACGCAATTAGTATTTTGTTAAGTTAAACTAGAACGCAATAATTAATTATGCTACTGTTTTAAAGAATTGAATTTATTATACCAAGAGAAAACAAACCTTTCTTTTCTAAAACTTTTTCCTTCTCTTCGTCCGCCATTTTGAAAACACTGACAAAAAGGCCTGGAACTAGCTTCGTAAAGAGCATACACGAATGGTCCAGCCGCTGAAGATGTGCAGGCTCGAATTGATGACGTCACATCATTTAATTTAGCATGAAACTGGATGAAATGGATTTAGGAAAGAAAGGAACGTGTTTGATWATCAATGCAGATGATTTTGGCTATTGCAGTCAAAGAAATAGAGGAATAGTTGAGGCATTTTGCAATGGTGTYGTGTCTAGTGTGTCTCTTCTTGTTAATGGATCAAGTTCATTAGAGGCTATAGGATTTGCCTGTGAACATAATATTCCAATGGGTTTACACCTCAATTTGACTGAAGGACATCCAATGGGAAAGGATCATGAGACTTTGATTGATAGCAAAGGATATTTTAAGGGGAAGATGGGATTTAGAGATGCTCTACGCTCAGGG